CTCACCGCTGATGCACAGAAATTCCCAGCATAAAGATGCACGTGACAGCCAACTGCGACGAGAGATATAATAAGCCTTCCAAAAGAGACACTTATTTAGAATATTAACAGGTGTCCTCACAAGACACTACACACTGGGCAAGCAAATGAATAAACTCGGGAAATGTCGAATGGTCTCAGTTGGCTATCCATCCGGCCTTACTCGCTTTTTCAATACAAAAAAGTCATCTGCATCTCCGCGAACACGACGACGAAAATCGACGCAACATCACACAGCCACTGAATCGGATAGGCTAATGCATGGATTGGCATTTAATCTGTTAATGAGCCCAGTCGCTACCACATCTTATTTTACAAACGACCTCTTCACTCGCCAGCTTAAAAACTCTCATTCAAATAACAATATACCTTTGATACGATCTAGTCGAAAAGGCATTGTATCTGCGACTGCTGTAAGATGATGCTGTTCGTGACAATTCTAGGCAGCCTAACAGATCTATGCAGGCTTAAAGTAACGCTGCTACAACAACGAAAACAACAACAACGAAAACATTAAACGGTCCAAATGCTGAAGGAAATGATTCTTTGTAATAATTTTTTCTTTCACTCTATATCTACCAGTAGTCTTAATTTTAGTGCATTTCCTAAGGATTCCCTGTCGTATTACAATCACACCTACACACAATATTTTAGTAATACAAAACACTAGACACATGCTATATATGAATATAAAAATTTATGCTTTAATACATACATATTTTAGATGAATTTATGTACATTAGAGTGTTCCAAAAATATCTTTTTGAGAAATTCGATATGCATATCTCAATTTTTGTTCTTTGGCCTACTTCGGTACATACATACATATTTGTATGTACATCAGGGTGCATCACCAAAAAAAGTTGCGGTTTTTCCAGCGGAACTACAAAATTTATTACATAACTATACGGAAAAATACCGAGATTTACCTGACCTAGACCCATTTAAAAATACCTCAAAAAATCTCATTTTGATTCCGTGAATAAATTTTTTAAGCTTTTTATATAGACCTTTGAACCTTGAACTCTTCAATCATCTGAGGTAATTGGAATAAAAAAATATTTTAGAAAACTCTTTGTATATTTAAAAACTAGATTTTGGGGGTATTTTCGAATGGGTTGGACGGAAATCTGAATATTGTTCCCAATTATTTTGACGGAAGTCTTATAATTCCGATGGAAAACAGTGCCAATTTTAGGTTTTGTTTGAAGAGTGATGCACTCTAATGTACATATATAAGGTTAATTTGCTGCAGAATCATGATAGCCCGTGCCGACTTGAAGTTTAACAATAAACTTGTACCGAGGAAACCTTTCAATAGAGCTCAACTGCTGTCAGTTTATGTTTTTAGTTTTTAACCGACTTCAAGAAAGAGGAGGTTATCAATTCATCGGAAAGGTGGTACCTCGGGGTGGTCTCAAACTAATTTAGTTGAGTTCCGATCGTTTGGTCATGAATAGACTAACGGTAAATTTTTATGTGAGCATTGAAATCGGTTATGTTTTTGTCTAACAGTTATTTGTTCAATATTGTATTGAAGGGGACAGATTTTAAAAGGACATAGTTTATTTTTTGAATCCACGTTGTACCACATATCCATCTAACCGAAGCGAGAGACCTGCAGCAGAAACACAAAACTTCATGTGCCCTCCAGTGGAAAACTCACCTCCTAGCCAACAGCATCTATTGATACTGCATGGATGCAGGACCAGCTGATGATCGTTATCCATTTTGCCACCTCAACCTTGATCCTCCAAGACCACTTTAGGGATATGCTATGGACATGATTTTTTGCTGTAAAAGCAAAAGCTCAGGCTGGCGTATGCTGATGATATCGACATCATCGGCAACAAAAATCGGGAAGTCTGTTCTGCATTTTCCAAGATGAATAAGAAAGCAAAACGAATGAGTAACGAATGGGACCGAATGACCGACTCGTCGGTACGTCCTCGGGTCCAGTGGTTGGTCGATATATGTAATTCTGGACCGCGTCCATGTATACGAAAAGGTGCCCCCTGAGGTGCCTGGGTGGAGGCTCCTACTCGAGCAAGGATCTGTCGGGGTGCTCACTCCACCAGAAATTGCCTGCTGAGCATTTTTTTGTGCTCCCTTACGTCGACCAATTGCATTGTATGTTACCAACAACGTTTCTTTGTCTTTGCCCCAGGGGCTGTCGGGAAGCGACTTTAGGAACTTGTTGCGGCTCTGTACTGCAGTTGTGTGCGCGGATAAGGAGAGTAGGCTGTCAAAGGTAACAGTAAAGTAAAAATTACTTCTCAACAGCGAAAGCTTAGAAATTTTAGCGAGAAGAGATAATGGGCCTCATGCATAAAAAGTGAGCTTAAGCTCCGACTCGTTTTTCAGTACAAATTCTTGAGCTTGAGCTCACCCTTTCAGTGCAAAAATTGAGTCTGAGCTTAAGCTCACTTTTTATGCATAAGGCCCAATGACTCTAGTCGACTTGTCGAATCGTTCGTGTATAAGAAGTGCATAGTGAAGTCGGCAACGGGTTATCGTCAGCCAACAGAATGAAAAAATTTTAAGAAAAAAAGGAATTGGTTTCATACCGTATTTCGCAAAAAATTGTTTTATTTTATGGGCCACCCTTATTTATATACTACATAGTGTATTCTACACCTTTTTTATATTAAAATACATCTATTTCGGTACATTAAAAATTTGTATGTAATAAAAAAACTAAGTACTAAAGAGTTTGGATTCGAAAAACAAACGAATGCAATTCGAAAACTTACACTTTAAACTCCCTAATTTTTCTTTTATGTAGTACATTTGTAGTGCATATTTTTATATACTGCCTTATCCTGAGTTTCGCCGGAAAAAATGTAACTGGAAATTTTTCATCTGCTCATAGTAAATAGTACATGGAAACCAACAGTGAAAAGTGAACCGGTTCGGGGAAAATGAAACTCATGATAAGGTTGAACGGGTTTTTTTTTATCATATTTGTCTTATATTATTAGATTTGTTTTTTGTTTTGTTTTTTGGTTGCTACCTTATTCGAAACTTTTCTTTACTTTAAAGAAAGATATAAGGGGCGTTCCATACCAAAATTTAAAATTTTTAGGATTGATGGATAAACTTAAATAATAAATAAATATGAAATTTGAGCTTGATTAATACATTTTTAAAAACATTACAACACAAAAACAAAAACAAATCGATTTAATAATTTTCCAAATATCTCGAAAAAATTTGAAATAATTACACATACACGCATAAAAATTCTCTATGAAAATAAATATTTAAAAAAATTTTTTTCTTGAAAAATTTTTCATATACAAATTGAAAATATGCCATCTCAAAAAAAATTTAAAAAATCACAATGGTAGCTCTGGGGTGCACTCTACAATAATTTGAGTTATGAATTTTTTTTTTACACCGAAGTTGAGTAAAATGAGAACATTACAAATTTACAAATTTGTTTAATTTTTTCTACAACTTTTTAAAAGTTGTTTAGAAGTTTTTTGAATCTGTAGTTTTGTAGCCCATAAAATTTTAGTATAATAAAGTGCAAGTTTTAAGCTACCGCAAAATTGCGTTGATTTTTAATACTTTTTATGCTGACGGCTTTTTGCATTTTTTTCTTATGGAAGAAACTTAAAAAAAAATTACGCCAGTTTTGCAATCGCGTAAAACTTTCATTTTATTATACTAAAATTTTAAGGGCTACAAAACTACATACTCAAAAAAGTTCTAAAAAAAAAATTTGTTAATTTGTAATGTAATCGTTTTACTCAACTTCGATGTAAAAAATTGATAACTCAAATTATTGTAGAGTGCATCCCGTAATACTATACTTAAATATTTCGCAATACTCAGAGCTACCTTTGTGATATTTTTTTATTTTTTTTGAGATGGCATATTTTTAAAAATTAATGGCCTTATTCATAAAAAATAAAGTAGTTTTAAAAAAGGTTTATAAACTGAAAAATGTATGAAAACGTCACTTTATAAATCTCTTTAAACCTACTTTATTTTTTAAGAATTTGGCCATAATTTTTTTACCAAAAAATTTGTATGTGAAAAATTTTTCACGAAATAAAATTAAAATTTTTGTTTTTCATAGAGAATTTTGATATGTGCATGCGATTTTTTTTTAATTTTTTCCTCGCCCCGTTCCCGAGATATTTGGAAAACTAAAAAATCGATTTGTTTTTGTTTTTGTGTGGAAAAGTTTTTAAAAATATATGAATCATGCTCAAATTTAATATTTTTTATTATTTGTGTTTGTCCATCAACCCCCAAAATTTGAAACAAATCAAACACATGAAGCGTGAACCCCGTCCATTTTGGTATGCAACGCCCCATAAACATATACAATAGTACTGATCATACGTATACATTAGACTATGTACAATAACGGCAATTTTTTTCGGTCCCACAGGAAAATTTCGTTGTCGGTAAAAAAAAAAAAATTATTGCGAAATTTTAACCCTCTATATTAACTTTTCAGGCAGCGTTAGAAAACATCTTTTTCTGCTCCTCTTTTAATAAACAGTGAAATATGCCAAATAAAAAACAACCCTGTGCCCAATTAAAGTTTAGTATAAAAGGCGCAAGTTTGAAGTTGATCTTAGGCATTTTTTGCTTGTTGAATATTTCGTTAATTTTTTCCATGCAGACAAATTGTCGAACATACTTTGTACGGAAGAAAATGAGTGATACTGTGAACAAAAAAATTGCCCAAAATCAAAATTGATTGTGCCACAACGTTGGTTTCTCATTTGCTATATTTAATTGTTTATTAAAAAAAAAAATGTAGCGGACAAAAATGTTACCATATTTTCTTGTGACCGACAACGAAATTTTCATTTTGGACCGAAAAAAAACATTCGCGTATATCTTTAAACTAATAAATAGGCATTGACATATCGAAATATTATAAATACGAGTATTTAGTCGTTACATATTTACTGTACTTTTAAATATTAAAGCTTGAAAGTTTTCAAGTGACTTGTTAAAGCTTTATGCCGATCTTCTATTGGCTCGGGTTACATTTTACAAACTAATGACTATTATAAGATTATGTATGTACTTTTGGGAATACCATTTGCTTTTTTTTTGTTCATATTTTTATGATATTTTAGTATTTACGAATAGTTCAGTCGATTTTGATAATTTTTTTTTTTTTTTTAAATTTAGTTTAGAGCTGAGGGTTACCACCCCCAACTGTGCCAATTATAGCCGAAACATTTGCAAGTGTATGAGCTTAAATCGTGAGCTTGAAGTTAGGAAGAATATAGGACAGATTATCGTATGTATGTTTGTTTTCCCATACAGAGACAGGCGCGTCAATTGTACTTATGCATAGTTTAACCAACTGATTGCAGCAACCAACCAACCAACTGCTTTTCCCTGCCGCCCATCCATCGCCCGATTGCGTCCTCTTATCAAAACACTTCTCCTACCTTCTGTGTCACCGTTGCTATTTTTTTTTTACTCTACTTAAATAAATGTTTCGGCTGCCATTTGTTACAAGCATTCCGTTGTTGTTGCTTGCGGCAGCGGCTTTTCGTGTGGTGGTGATGGTCCCGATACCGACACCATCGGCAGCGCCGCAATCTTGGGACGTGCATTTTTGAGCGTGTGCGCGTGCGACTTTGGACTTGGGTGCGGTGATGCGGATGCGGTTGAGGAACGTTGACGTACTAGCGTGCGTGAACGATTTGTAGCGACAATTTCTGGTGGCAGCGCGGAAGTGGCAACTACAGTCGTCGGCACAAGCACTAACTCCTCGACAGTGTCGGTGGAGCCACGCGATGTGGAGCTTCTGGTTGATATACCTGCAAAGGTATTTGGACGCTGTCGTTTCTCGCCGTTGGGTACATTGACGACATTGGCGGTGGTTGTTGTGTTGGCGGCACTACCATTGTGCAGCTTCTCCCTGATGTGTGAAGGTGGCGTCTCCAGCGAGATGCTACCCACAACCACATTCGTGGTGGACATTGAAGCTGCTGCAGCTGCTGAGGTGGATGGGTGATCGCAGTTGGTGTTGGCGGTGAGCACTGAGAGGGTACGTGACTCGCCACCGCATGCGGCACCGTCTGCGAAATTGTTGTTAGCGCTAGGACGGCATTCGCGTAATTCTATGGCGCTGCCATCACAATCGTCTTGCCGTTTATTCGCTGCATTCGGATCGCTGTCATTATTCTCGTCAGTACGCCACGGTCGGTTATTGTCCGAGAAACTTTTCTGTTGGAATAAAATGAGTTAAAAGTAAAGTAAGTAGTCACGATTGAGAGAATATAAAGGTTGCGCCGATCTCGGACCGCTATTCCTCTCTTAACGAATTTGACAGAATCGTCGTTTACATGACGTCACACTGGTGCATCTTGTTTACATTTTCCTTGCAACATTTTTTCTTCTTCTTCCATTCTTGCTCACGTTTTGGCATTTCTCTCTCGCAATTGCACCAGTGTGACGTCACACAAAAGTTATTCTCAAAAATCCTCTCTGATCGGCGCAATCTTGTATTCTATCATTCTTGGTAAGTAGTAAATAAGTATGTTTTGATACCCACCTTGCGCTCATTGTCGGTAATATTCTCTGCGCTGCGCGCTTTTCGACATAGCACACTCTGTGAGCCGTGTCGACGCAAAAACTCGATGGAGTCAAATCCTCTACCCTCGGACGATACAAAGATTGCCGAATTGATGCGACTACGTGTACAACGTTCCGAAATCGAGGCGGAGCGCTCCTCGTGCAACATGTGGATATGCTGGAAACAGAGACACAAATAACATTTCAATTTGTGAACGAACTATGTATGTAGGTGTGGGCGTATGCTGACTAACGAAGTACGAGTACATGGGACGTAAACAAAACAAAGTAGAACATGACGCGTAGACGGACGACAAAAGCAAACATAGTAGTAACTGCAAACATTTATTGGACGTTTATTGAAAATGGAAATTCGTGCTTTGACACGTAATTTCAGTATTTCTGCTTTGCTTATTTTTATATACAAACAAACAAACGCTAACAAACGGAAATAGACGACTTGTATAATTGAAGTGGTAAGCAGGTGTGAGCATTTTAAATTTAATTTTATTTTCGTTTTATATGTTTGTGTGGGTGGTTTGGTTACGGTGTTTGTGTGCAGAGTGCGATTTTCATTTTTAGTAGCTGTGCTTGGCATTGAATCCTTTTGCCTTGTTTGTACAATCTTACCAGTTTGTTGATTGTTGTTGGTAGCTAAACGTTTTTTCTGAATAGTACAAAAATATAATTTTCAAGAAAACTTTAGAGCAATTCGTCTAAACGCGTAAATGCCTCGTAACCATGTAAACCTTGTAAACTTACTTAATTTTGTAGAAAAACCGGTTTATTTATATATTTTACTTTATTTGGGTGCATATGCTAGTTTCGATGGATTTGATGTTTGGCGGCGCGGAAAATAAAATTTTGTTTGACAAAATCTTATATATCGAAAACGAGATAGAAGAGATAGTGAATTAAATTTAACTGGTTTTTAAAGCTTTTGAGATGAGCAATTAAGAAAAAACAGTCTTGTTGGATAAAAAGATTATTTTGACATTTAAAATGACCTTTAACCAGAAAAAAAGTCCAAAATTTTACTTTTGAAGGTAGAATTTAAAGTCGAGGTATGTTTACATACAATGAGTTCTTTAAAATGACCTTACGAAATAAAAGTTTTGATTTTGGTTTAACTCAGAACTTCATCTAATGAACTTTAAAAAAAAATTTAAATGCGGTCTTCGGTCCTTGCGACCTTGGAAACGGATTCGTGACGCAAGAACAACAAAAACATGTGTTTAAGAGTTTTCCAAAAGTTTACAGCATTCGCTTTCCAGGTCAGAAAAAGGAAACAATTTCAAACATTCTATTTTTAAAGGTCTTTTTTTTAAGGTCATTTTCGCCTAAATTTCCATTTAAAAAGCTTTATTTCGCCAGCTACATATTCTCGTTCTCGAGGTATTCCATTTTGTAACAAACAAAGTTTGTTTTCCACACAGTGCGACGCTTAGCTCTTCAATATACTCCTAAGAAAATTGTGCGAGTTTTTAGAGATCTTCTTGCATACATATGTCCTACTGATATTGAATGAGAGTTTCATATTTGCGGTCAACTTATAGAAAACTAGCTGATACCCGCGCATATATCTTTAATTTCCTCTAAATTGGAGAGAAATAAGCATTTTCTTAATCGGCCCTATTATGGTTGTCGACGTCGACGTCGATGTTATTTTTTCAACAAAAAATAGCCTTCGTAAGTCCAACTCCAGCTACGCTGACCACAGTATTTTTGAGGAAAGGTGTTCCTCGCAAAAATACTGTGGTCAGCGTGGCTGACGGTGGACTTGCGAGGGCTATATTTTGATGAAAAAATTACACATTCGGAACTTATCCTTTAGTTAGCTGGGAACCAAGTCGCTTTAGGGGAAGGTAGATAACTGCAAAGCTCATGTGGTTTTATAAAAGGTCCCGGATCTGTGTGAGTGCCACAAGGGATGGTCGCCCAACCTAAGTTAACCCGAATAAAATTAATATGCATACTTAATAGATATGGGGTACGCTCGCAGGATCAGGTGAATCAAAAAGGTGCTCAGCGGCGAGGATGAAACTCAGTCAATGGCCAGCGGCCCTGGAGAAAAGGCTTTAGACTGGACCAGCGCCAAAGTTCTCTATCTAAAACGATGAGCATCTCATTACCACAAATTGTTCCGAGCATCGTGTATGGAAGCAGTGAAAATTTAGGCCACCTCCAAGGCTGCGGGTCCGGGATGTCACACAGGCTTTCTAAGTGTATCATTTCGTCAACGAGTGGTCGATGACTTTCTATAACATGTCAGTCGTCCTAGTTGAAGAAGTCCGGAAGGGAGCTAATCTGAAGGCCGTGGGCAAAAATTATCTACGCCTCCGTCCGCGGGAACGCATTTGGCTTCCCGTCGAATATACTACTTCAGCTGAGATCTAGTAAATTCTTCGGAATCGCAACTCAAAGAGCCATTCAATCATACCCCGCTGATGCACTAAATATATATAACTTTGCTACTAAAGTCGTAGATCGAGGTGGTGGAAGCTGAAGCCTTATAGACATACTGGTTTATAATAACCCCTTAAGTGGTGGAATAGCCATATTTTTATTCTTTCACTAGCCATACATGTACCAAACTTGGTAATGTAGAGTCAAATATTTTCGTTGGTGAAACTCCAATCAGTACGAAATTTTACTCTTTGTTTCTTCGTCTGCTCGATTCCCACGATTAGTCACTATTCATAGAGAAATCTTTAAATTTTTTTTTTTTTTGTGTAGTTTCAAGCAGAAAAACTTGCCAAAATAACGCTTCGAGCATTAGTTGAATCTTTGGCCTATACTCACGAAAGGCTACTACCAACCAATATTTTATGTACCAACATTTTTTTAATTTAATGAAGTGTTTATAGGAGAACGTATATCCGCGGTCGTTTGCAATATCTACTCGGTCCACTGTGTGCTGAGAATATGACCATAAAAACGCAAGAATTTGATTGCATTGCAGCAATAACTTTTTAGAGTGCAGCTGAGCTTTATAGTTAATCACTTTGTAAAAATATTTGTTAAATTAAATTACCGATAAATCTGTACATGGAAACAGAGGCTACTTCGGTTGCTGGAAAATAAACATTTACATTGGCGCACATCACACACAGACGCTGGCAGTAGCACAGCATGCAATGCCATTGCTGAATGACAGGATATTGATGTATCCTGTTGGCACATGGACCACCATGCAAAATATGTTGACTCAGTGTGTGGATGCGTACACAACGAAAGGCCAACCAACGAAGCATTTTCAGCTTACTTGCGTATATTTAGTCGTACATATGTATGTACAGCAATGTGCATATGTTTGCATGGGTGCCGTTACGTACATTTATGAGTGAGTATATCAGTTGGACTGTTTTGGCATCGCATTTATTGCTGATATGAGCATTCACTAGCAAGTACTATGGACTCGAATATATATATGTGTACATATGTATGTATAGCCAATTTACTGCAAGCAACGTTGGACTTCTGAAATGCAGTAACACATGCATATGATAAGTAAGCTAGCGGTTAGTGGTAAACGCACACACGCAGGCTTGACGGTCAACCAACCGTGTGGACATTTGAAATTATGACATTCGAAAGGGAGACAAAATGTGGCTGAGATAGGCCAGTGTTGCCGTTGTACGACTAAAGGGGCAATTTTACCCTTTTTAAGCGCCCATTCCCTTTGACCCGACTTTTTGAAAGATTTGATTTTTTGACTCTTTGACTCCAAAATTATGTGCGACCTTGGCCCCCTTTCTGAGGTATTTTAGGAAATGTTATCATAACCATGCAAATAAAAAATATTTCCTCCTATAATTACGAAAAAATGCATCTCTTTCAAAGGAATTGCAACTCTTCTCCTAGCAGCAACTAGATTTATGTGTATGCTCTTGTGCAAAAATTTTCCCGCTATTTTATTTTTAAATTCAACAGATTTATTCTTTTACTAGTAAAGAAAAACAAAAATAATATGGTGACCCTTTTCGTCAATGACCCCTTTTTTGCGACTTTCTGAAAATATTTAACGCCAACACTGAGATAGGCTGCTCGTAAAAGGTCATGACCAGCATTGCCGCTTTGCTAATTTTTTTACTAAAATTTGTATTTTTTTTTATTTCTCACATTTGGTAATTTGGTCATTTATTTTTCAATTTGGTAATTTTTCGATTCGCTCCTACATGTCACATAGGTAGGTCAATACAGGTTTTGATTCCAAATTAGGAAACTCAAAGTTTCGCAAGGTGAAAAATTGTTCCAGCGTTCCTTGGTCATTACTACAAACTGCTTGAAAGTGGCTATTGCTATATCTACCGTGCTCTTTCCCGGATGGTTTAGGGTGGGCGTAACTTTCCTTGTCCGTTCGCCAGCTTTGCAATCGCCAGCAATATTCCTGTGTACCCCGGCATCCATATGAGTAGAATTCTATGTAAATATGTATGTTCTCGTTTAAAAATCTACGGAACTTAGTGGGTGCTTCCTTTGTCTATACGTCAGTCGAAAGCTATCATGACTGCTTTCAAGCGTTGAGTTTTTGAGATATTTTCGGCCACTTGTTGACACGTGTATGTATGTATATTGGCCTCAACTGAACAAATGTGATCCAAAGTTTAGAATTTATTCGCATAATTACAGTTATCTGAGTGGCCTCAAAAAAAAAGTCCAATGGGGCCAAGTCGGATGATCTCAGTGGCCGAACGACATCCTCTCTACGGGAAATTATTATGCGCTTGCTTATCCTCTGTTGAAGGAGAAATGGTCAGTGGACGCAGTCAGGAAAAGACGATCAATCCATGTCTACACGGACGGATCAAAGCTCGAAAAGAGAGTTGGTTGTGGGGTGTATTCGGAACAGTTAGGCATATCGTTAGGCTTCCGCCTTCCTGACTACTGCAGTGTTTTTCGATTCCTAGTCATGACTGCCGCCCAACCTAACCTAACCTAACCTAATCCTCTGTTGCAACGAACCGTATCCATGACACTGAGAATGATCAGATGCATTCAGTTGTTTTGTGATGGATGGAAATGTATACGAAAATGTAAAATGCACCATTTTGAGCCATAAGATGGTACCGTTTTCTCAAAGGGACGCTTAATCGACAAATTTGTTTCTAAGGCCACACTTAGTTTTGAAATCCTCACCAAGCTTTTCTGAAGTTGTGGCTTTCGGCGCTCACGCAG